CTCAGGGGGCGTTGAACCGTCGGCCGCTGTGGAGCGCGGGACCGCTTGCCTCTTGGTTCCCTCTTCTCCCCCCCGTAACATTAGAATAAGTGTATTTGTGTTGCAGGGGTGAAGGTTAGCTAATTAATTCACCTTGAAAGTGAAGCTGCTCTAAGTGCTAAGTGTTCTCTTCCTCAGCCTCGTCACCCGTGGCTTTATAATTTCCTCTGAACCTCCTTTTGTTTAAATGATATAGGTACAAATGCATTGGGAACAGTGTTAAGCCAACCGCTGTATAAAAATAGCAGAGTCCCTGAGAGGTCTGTATCATGATTTTGTTTTCAGGAGCGTTTGGTTTGAGTACCACTCTGTGTGAAGCAAGGGTAGTGCTAAGGGATAAAAATCACGCTGCCTGTGCTTCTTGCCCTTTCCTACATGCCTGCATTTAAAGCCAGAGTCAAATCTGCTCATAACCAGTGTTTGTTTGCCTGTGACTTTACCACGTTTGCCTCTAGACTCTTGGCTCAACCCCATTTTCAGCTCTCTGCCCTCGCCCTGTTTTAAAGCAGCGCTCCGGCAGGCCATGTCTTGGCAGCTGGGGCTCGTTATCTGTTCTCATGGACTGAGCTGCAGATTTTTAAGGTGTTTCTGCTCCAGGTGACCAGGCTGCTCTTTTGTTGGAAATCACTGTGTCAGAACAAGCAGCAAAGTGTGCCTGCTGCTGGAGGTAGCTTTGGCTAGGCAGCCAGGCTGGGAAGCAGAGCCTGAGGCTGGGCTGGGGTCTGCCGTGCAGCTCTGGGCTGGTGGCTGCTATGTCTGGCATTCCTTCTGGCCTTCCGGCACCGGTCAAGGGAGAGGCAGCAAGCACTTGAATGAAAATGGAGCATTGCAAGTGCCAGATCAGCTCGCAGGTTTTCGGTTTTCTCAGTCCCCTGAGATACACATGCAAGATGCTTGAGATTTCTCAGTCCTTCTCCAAATAATGCTTGGCTGCTGAGCACTTGCCACTCTTTGTCGTGCTGTTTTAGATGCGGGGCTTGTGTTTTGCAGACAATGAGTGGAAATGAGGACGACTGGTTGGCGCTCAAACCCCAGGAACCTTCTCCATCCCAGTGCTGTGGCAGCGGCTGCAAACCCTGCATCTATGATGTGTACGAGAAGGAGCTTGCACAATGGGAGAGGGCCAAAGCAAAGCAAGACAAAAGCCTCCTCAAGGAAAAGAAGCAGCAGGTCAATTTATCTTCGTCACATCCTAGAGCCAGTGCTTTGATCGTACTTGTTAGTGTGTGGGGTTGTGGTGATGGGCGAGGGATGCAGCAATAGATGAAAGTGATGTCTTAAGAGAAGGCTGTAAACGCAAATCCCCAAACTCTGCCTTCACAGCCCAGCCACCCTCCCCCTTGCCCGCTCTCTCCATGCTGTAATGTGATTTTCCAAGTGTCGAGTTCGCCCTGGTGTCGCATTACAGCCCTGGGTCTGCAGCCTCTCCTTGCTGGGGTACCCCAGCCAGCCGGAGCCAGCCTCTCTGGAAAGTGAGAATGGGTGAAAGGTACAAAGATTCACAATTTTATCTGACAGTTTCCTCGGAGAAGCTCTGTTTTCCTGACCTTTTTCATCTTTTCCTGATTTTTAGACTCATACTTTGAGGATGAAGAAAACTGCATTGTGTGTGGTGGAGTAGTTGTCTTCAGAGCATAATCTTAAGCTCGTCAGTGCCCTTTTACATCAGATTAACTATGCTGGGTCAAGCAAAAATGATCAGCGTTGAAACAGCTAACAATATTTCCTATTTGCAGTGGTCATCAGTAGGTTTCAAAGTTGCCCCCAAAGCAGGGCTCAGCTCTTTTAGCAGTATTATTTCTGTTTGTTTCCAGACATGAGAAAATGATTGCATTGTGAGTCATAATAGGATGACCTTGCTGTAAGGTGTAAAAATGTAATTTAGGAAGGGGGGGGGGGGGGGGGGGGATATGTGAGATCCCAAAGTACATGCTGCAGAACATGATAATGAATCAGCAGAGTGCTGAAATTTGGGGTGGGCCCCAGCATTTAATACGTGTTCTTCTGGAGTCCTGAGTATCTCCAGCACTAAGTTATCACACACATTTGCTTCCAAAGAGAAATAAAATAATAAAAGACGCCACCTAACCAAGTAATTATTTATTGTTATTCTTGCAGAGCAATAATTCAGAACTGAATCCAGATACATTTACTGCATTCAACATAAGCTCGGTGGAGCAGCTAACAGAGGACACCTACCAGTACAAATTTGAATTACCAGGAAATAGCAGTCTGCGATTGAGTTTAGGACAACATATCGTGTTAAGGTATTGTTCTCTGTGCTAGTTAAACAGTCTGCATTATGTAACGTAATATGTAGGGTTTTGTCAATAGACAAAGGCTTCATACCAGGCAAATCATAATTTCTATACCTCCACAGTGACACAGATGAAAGAACTTGTGAGCTCATTAGCTCTACTAATTTTATGGTAAAAGCCATTCCAAAGCTGTATTTTTCTTCAGCATTATCCTTGCGTCGGTGGGTCAGAAAGAACTAGGTGTGATTAAGAAAATCCATTTGCAGAAAAAAAGAGTTAAAGAATAGATGTTACAACAGATGATTTACTCCAGCATGTTGGGATGAAGACAATGAGCTGTGCTTACCCCACAGCTTGGTATTTTAGGCTGTGTATCTTGGGGTAACTCAGCACCCGGGGTGTTACCCCCAGTGTCCAGGCATTTTCTGACTGATTTCTAACAAAACAACCCTCCTGCGTAGTTTATTGCTTGCCAGAAAGGAGCCACTTGGGAAAAGTTTATGTGTCTCAGCCATCTGTGGTGATCATTGCCAGATAGAAAAAGTCATGTTATGATGCCATTGATCTGTATCTGTTGACGTTATTTGTACGTTAACAGCTGATGTGTACAGCTGGCTGGCTGCTGAAAGTACATGCTTCTCCCTTCAGCCATCTCTCATAATGCAGCAGAGGAAAAGGTTTGGTCACTTCAATCAATTACAATAGTCAGTAGTGACGAGCAGGGTGGATGTATTCTATGGAAAGAGAAGACTTAAAGGAAAATACAGTGTCTATTGACAAGACCTCAGGTCAAGGTTGTGCCCTGGCTTTCATTATTTAATTGCCAGATGCTGTCTGAATGCAGAAAGGAAAGTAGACCCCAGCCCAAGAGGGATAGCAAAGTTACCACGAAAGCATTTTTCTCTCTCCTTTGCCAGTCTTGCATGTTCAGCTGTTTCTCACAAAACAGCTCAAACGTCCTTCCGGGGATGTGTCCATGAGCTGAATGTGCGGTACAGCTGGGGCCACCACCAGGAAAACAAAAGGTGCATTTAGCCATTATGTTCCCCCTGGATTTTTACCTCTGGAAGGGAAATGTTTTGTATCTGTGCACAGGCTGGGCCATTGGGAAGAGGACCTGCTGCCTCTCTCATCTCCCCAGAGAACTGCAGAAGTTTGGTAATACCAGTCAATGACCCAAGTCACAGTAGGGTCCTGTATTTCTCTTCTCAGAGGAATGGTGAATGGTTTGGAGGTCCAGCGAGCCTATACTCCGATTAGCCCAGGGAATGCAGAAGGTTACTTTGAAGTTTTAATGAAAGTAAGTAAGCAAGCCTGTACAATATGGATTGGAGTCTAAGGTGCCAGGGACTATGTTTTCTTTAGAAACCAAGCATGCTGTCAGCACTTCAAGTGAGACTTTCTCAAATCCCTCATGGACTGTTTCTGTGTTGTCTTGAAGCAGTTGTGCTTTACTGATAAAAATTGCAGTTTTTCCCACAAAACTGAAAGCAGAGGAAGGTGACACACAAACAAGTGCTTTGCAGCATAAGCCCTGTTAAGCACTTGGGAGAGCCTCTCGAGAGCCCTGCAGTCACCAGTGTGGAAAGAGGTACCCATTCCGCTTCCCTGATTTTATTTTGCCTTTTCAGTCTGTCTTTGAAATTGCACCCGGTTGTCAGCCCAGTTGAACCACTGATTTTGGGAAGTCTTTGCCCAGCCCTTATTTTCCCCCCTGTATTTTACTTCAAGAGCTCTCCTCCAAAAAATTTTTCAGTTTGGTTAGAAATTTAGATAGACAGTAGGCAGCTGTTTCTGATTGGCAGGCAGGGCTCTGGAGGTGCCTGCAGTCTGAGAGGGTCCCCGTGGCCCACGGGGCAGAGCGGTGGCCCACGGGCACAGGCCACACCTATCAGGGCGGATGGGGTGGCAGAGCCCCATTTTGGACAAGTGTCCTGGCCCTTCTGGAGGCCACCACAAAAGGATTTTATAGGAGAACTTGGCTGGAAATTTGTCTGAATAAAGTCTGCAGGGCCCTCGTAAATGATTACTTTGTGTGGAGAATATGGAATTGAAGAAAATTTCTCCAATACTGCATTTGTATGTCACTAGTGATTCCTCAGGGCAGACACAGACTTCAGATTCAGTGCTGGGTATCCCAGGTGGCTTGCAGAGAATGACCACTTGTCCTGTGCCTGTCTTCCAGGATTTCACATTTTTGGGGTTTATTATGCATTATATGTTCGAACACAAACCCTGTTCTTTAGAAGAGTGTACAGCTTCTGTAGGACACCTGTGGGAGGGTCATTTCACCATTCTTGTGGCAATTGGTGTGTGGTAGGGGAGAGAAATGTTGCATTTGGGTTGCATTAATAGGATAGGTTCACAGGGTGACTGTGAAATTTCATGTATACTTGCTTATTACTCCCAGGTTTTGCATTTCAATAATAATAGTAATGATTGTAATGATACCTTTCCTTTATATAGAACCTTTCATCCCAAAGGGAGCTATAGTTATTCTCTGGCAGTGACAAAAGAGGTTGGTAACACCCAGTGTAAAGCAGCCATTTTTATAACTCACTCTGTAGATTGTGGTATATTTCACACTATTCAGGCAATTTTGGAAAGTACTATATTATTATTATTACTATGCAATCCAAGCACTGTTCAAACCCTTCTGTCTCCTGTTATTATAGCATTGCATTTGTGATACTACAGTTAAGAGTGAGGGAGTTGCCATTTACAGAGCATAACCCTCTTTTTGAGTGATTTTATAATGTTAGGGTTTGTCTCCATGTAAAACTGGGTGTAGAAGTTTTCCCTCAGGAGATAATTATTTTTTTCTTTTTACGTGGAAAAATTCATTTTAAACCCACTCAATCACTTCTCACTTCAATTTTTGGAAATAATTTTGGTGAAAGAAGGATTGTTTTAGTTTCCATTACCCTGGCCTATTGGGAATAGGCAGTAAGTGGGGCTGACTTTTCTGCTCTTGCCTTGGGTTTCTGTATATGTTTGAAGAAGGCAGCTATAAAATACTGCTCCTTTGATGCAACGCACACTCTTTGCATGAGACTTAGTACCTGCCCAGAGCTCTCTGAACATAAAATGTTCCTGACAGTAACTCAGAGCCTGGATGTATGTAAGTTACGCATTTACCTTTTGAATGTAACAGCTGGTGCTAATAGTTCTTAATACTTCAGGTATCTTGTTTAAGTGAGGTTGTTAGGAGGGGAGGAGCATCTGTGTTCTTTATTAGCTAACACTGCTTGCAAGCACAAGCACATGCTCACTCGGTTTTGCTTTTTCTTAGCTTCTTTGTGGTTCACCAATTTCGTTTGCCTGCAGTGCAGCTTGGTGGCCGGCCAAGGCACTGGGGTGTGGAGCTGGGCTTCTGTCCAATGCGTGTGCAGAAAGTACCTCAAAATACGCTTCTTTCATATGGGCTGGAGTCTTCGAAGGCCTATGTCACATCTCATCTTTTGACCTCTGGTTGTGTTGCTCTTCCTCAGGCTTACCAGTGGCATCGCCTCTGGGTGAGACCAGTTGTCTGCCGCAGCTGTTGGGCTTATCTGCTCTTGCTGTTTGGACCAGCCCTTGTTCTCCGGCCAGATCCCATAGACTGTGGCCGTTCTTCTGTGCACGTTTGTTCTCATTAACCATAAAGTGGTCATACATATAGGACACACATATGGCACATAGCAACAAGACTGCTTGGATGAGCCCTTCATTTTCGAGCCTCTCCTTGCTTCTCTGTTTCTAGCAAGCACTGACCCTTCCTCATCAGTCATGAGTGAGGTTAGCATTCCAGCCTAAATAATATTGTTTTGTGCCAGGTAGAAAGTAAGGCAGATTTTGCTAATGTTTTTCTTCCATGAGGCCCAAATGAACGTATTTTTTTGAAAATTTGAAGGCATCCCTTAGCATCCAGATGATCTGTTCTGAAAACAAGAGTTTTATAAATGAGAAACGTGACTTTGGGTCACTAATTGTATCAACACAGCATCTGAGAGACTGAAATAAAGCAAGAGCTATGCAGTGTTTATATAACTATTGGTACCTGGAGGGCATTTCCAGACCCCATACCCTGAGATTTGGAGAACACTTGAAGGCTTGGACTGTGCTTTGCATTCAAGATGCTCTTCTCTGTGTGCTTTGTAAGCCAGAACTCTGATAAGCTTTTTCCAGTTTTGGAAATTCAGACTGCATGAGAGTGGGTTGTGTTTACATTATAGTCAAGCTGGAATGGATCCAGCATGATTTAATTTAAATGCCTTTGTTTTGGGTATAACTTTGAGTTATTTTTCAAATAGAATGATCTTTCTTTCTTTTTAAATGCATGAAATGTTTTTTTGCCCCATTCTTGTTTAAATGTAGATAACTTTATAATTGACTTTAAGCTGGGAAACTTTCCAACAGAGTATAATTATTCTTTTCTTTTGTGCAATGTTTTTTATTAGTGCTATGAAGCTGGCCTAATGTCACAATACATAAAAACGTGGAAAAAAGGAGACACGGTCTTTTGGCGTGGGCCGTTCGGAGGGTTCCCATATCGACCTAATAAGGTTAGTTCCCTAAGAAACATAGGATGTTTCAGCTTGTGGCAGCTAGCTTTGTTTAATACTCTAAAGGGAAGACATCAATTTGATTACTTTTTTCATTATTATTTTAGGGACTTCCTGGGTTACTGTACAGTGCTACAGCGTTAGCAGTCAATTGGAGAAAGTACACCTTATTGAACTGCAGAATATTTAAGAAGGAAGAGGAGAGGGAGGTGGACAGGAGACTGGAAAATACTAGCAAGGCTCTCTGTTCATCACTTGCATTAGAAGTTCCCAATGTGTTTAACAAACGGAACTTACTTTGTGCCAGCAATGACTGTGGATAGGTTTTTGCCTTGTTTGAACCACATTGCTGTTTTGTGACTGAGCACGAGTGAAGGGGAGGTGTTGATCTTTTCTCTCTTGGGTAATCCCTGAACTGTAGCAGCTCCAGTGAGGTGTCATGTCACTCAGCCGCTCTGCAAATGTTGATCCCACCTGCTGATACCAGGCTCGCTGCAAAGAAAGGCAGATCCAGTTTCAGGGGAAGGTTTCTCACACATACTAATTCAGTTACTTAATTCTGACCTTTCAAATGAGGAGCAAAACTGAAACACTGGTCATTGAGATCCCAAAGCCTTGTTTTTCCTTCTTCTCCCCCCCACCCCAAAATAAGGCTGTAAAATGCCAGTGGCTGAGCTCCATGCAGAGCAATTGTGTTCTGCTTCCTGAAATACTCTCCCTGCTGTTTTAGGCTACTGTTCCCTTCTCTTCTTATAAGCTTCCAGATAATCATTTGGGACAGAACATGGCAGTCATGCCTACAAGTGGCTGTGTTCAGGGGCTGTCTGGGTGATCTGTGTACATGCGGTTTGCAGAACACCTGAGCAATCTTTAAAACAACTTGCTGTAGAAGAACTGTTTATTATTTAGGAATTATAACATAGTTATAATATTAGTTTCATAGTAAAATTTTCTTTTATCTCTATTTGCTGCCAGTAGAACAGGACTCAGATTCAGGCAGATCAGATCCATTCACAATAAACTGCCCAGTCAAAACAGAGCACAAGCAGCCTCTGAGGGCTTAACAGGGGCTTAAGTCCCAGTTCTGGCATTGGTGCACTGGCTGGCAGCTGGGGAAAGTGCTGGGAACCTTCGGTCCTCCTAAGCACAGCCCCTTACTGCCTGAACATCCCTATCGTGAGTAGAGTGAGTGTCCCCCCTTGCAGGTGGGAAGCACCATGTGCTGGTGGTAGCTCTTTGAGAAAAATGAGATAATGCACCAAGAAGATAACGTGGATCAGGATAGAGAAGAAACGATTTCCTACAGACAGCATTCAGGATTGTGCTTTGCAGCATTCAAGATAAAGACAGGGATAATTTCCAGTGGGAAAAGAACACGCGGTGGGTCAGCAAAGTGTACTGCAGAACTGAAACTGAAATATAAATTAACTAAAATCAAGGCTAAAGTTAAGAAAATGATTGTATTTCGGTAAAATACAGTTTTGTTAGATTTGATATATAAACCCTGAAAGTGCTATCTGTAATCCTTTGCAGAAAAATACATTCCGAGATTTGAATTTGCCAGTTCATGACCTTCTGATATGTTCTCTCTCGAGGGGCCCTTTTCCAGTGTAGCAGCAGGGAGGAATAGATAATGAGTACCTCCATTCCCAGTCACCACACACAGCTCACTCAAAATTCTCTGTTTTGTTGTTAGCATGGAGAACTCCTCATGCTGGCATCTGGTACCGGCCTCACACCAATGCTTCCCATCCTCCAGTCCATAACAGATGATGAAGAGGATGAAACCTTTGTAACCCTTGTTGGCTGCTTCCGTACATTTGACAAAATTTATTTGAAACCTCTTCTCCGGGATCTGGCTCGATACTGGAACATCAGAATATTTTACATCCTAAGCCAGGTAAATAAATGGATATGGAGCATGTCTGTGTGCGGGTTCTGGGTGCTGGATGAGCCTTGCCTCCTCTGCTTTTCCGTCAGTGTGGTCTTGATTCTTTCCCAGTCGCCGAGGGTATTTTGTGATCCAGTAGCTGCTGTTCTGAAATCTGCTACATATTCTCACACTGCTACCACTCTGGAGAATTTCAGGGAAGCAACCATCCCTGCTTGTTCCTCTTTACCTCCTTGGTGGCTGTTCTGTTGGGATGGACCCACTGATTCATAGTCACTGTTGATTATTCCCCCCCACTTCAGATGGTTGTTGTTGTACCTAAACATTTGTGCAGAGAAAACTTGACTCTGGGAGACTCACAGCAAATAAACTATTTATTCTGTCCTAATACCAGTGCCTTAATCTGTCCTTATCTTCCATTCACTGCTAGAGCTCTCTTCTAGTATGTTAGCACCAACTTCCCAGCAATTCTTTTTCCCAGCTGACCCATTTTTAAACTTCTTAAAGTTGTTTCCCCCTCTGTAAAATTACTTTTTCTGCCAAATCCATGGGATGAGGGCATACCTCTCAGTGGTCTTACATTTTGAGCAGTCTTTTTCATTTCCATTTGGTCCCAAAGTTGCCCATGTTCTGCACAGATTTGGTAGATGAAAATTATTTCCCTTGGAAATGAGGATTCATTGCAGGAAGGATATAGAAGGAATTATTTATGCTAAGGGAATGAATCCCATTGCATTTTTAGTTTCTCAGATGAATGATTTTTTGTATCTCTCGTGGTAGATCTGCCTCATACATTATGTTCCACATATGGCCTCAGCAAGTTGAGATTGGGTATAGAGAAAAGTACTTGTGATTTAGGCACCCCCTCGCTACTTTATAGGAACATAACCAGTAGTTGTCTCTGGTGATATAGCTTAAATACCCTTTTCAGGACAGTGCTGTCTCGAGAGCGTGAGGAGGCCTGGAAATTCAATCAGTGACAGGCAAGAAACCCAGCTGACCCCTGTCAACACTGTCTGCTTCACGTGTACATTTCTCCCTTCTCTTCTCTTCTCTTAGCAGGTTTGTTGTAGTCTAGCACTGACTTGTGCATCCTCCCTTTTAGGATTATATATCTGTCTGTCTCAGTATTTCGCTCTGCTGCCTGTCACCACCACATCTGAGCACCTTCTGCATCTAGTTAATAGCAGTAGGGGAGTCCCCACTGGACCTAATGCCATGGGATCTCACATTTCTCATGGGATCAGAGCTGTGTTTGGAGCAGGGCTGGCTTCTCTGTTTTGGTCAAGGGAGATGGGACTGAAAGAGGCTTGGGAATGGAAGAGGCAATAGAGAGGAACAGACTTGAGGTTTAGGACTTGGGAATAGAAGAGGCATGGTGGGAGGTGATTCTCAAAGGAGAAGGTTCTGCAGTGTTTCTTGGCAATAGTTACACTCCGGTTTTGTGATGTGACTAGGTCTCGTGACGGGGAAAGATTTGATCTAGGCTTTGGAAGTGGAACATAGCTCTCAGGATGGGTCAGTTCTACCCAGACAGAGTCAAAAGGGTGACAGACATCCTGTGCAGTACTCTGAGGGGAAGAGGGAGATACGGCTGTAAGCAATCAGTTGTCCTTTTTAACATGGCACACTGCAAACCTTTTGTCTTTACAGGAAACGTCACTGGAAAAACTTCCTTGGAGCTATCAGGAAAACACATACACTGGTCGTCTCAATGAAGACTTGATGAAGACGATAATAAATTCCTGTCGAAGAAAGCCATTTGTATTAATCTGTGGCTCTTCTGCATTCAATGAAGATATGAGCAGATATTTGAAAGCTGCAGGAATTGAAGAAAATTCCTGTTTTGTCTTTTAGTAGGATATTCTTAGGCCGAGCCTTGGATGTCCTTGTTTCTCTGCAGACATTGCTCAAATTCAGTCATCTCCATAGACTGAGTTCCTTGTGCATATACTTTCATAGGCCTTTGGATCAAATATTTGTCTCCAGTATGATTCTCATTCTTGAGAGTGTTTTAAGGATCAGGTACCACTCCAGAGAGGCTGCTATGATCACCCACACCTCAGGGAACAGCATGGTAATGTTAATGGAAGTCTCCACATGCAATTCTAAGAGAGAGATCTCCTAAGGGTACTAAAAAGTATCCAAGCACACAGCTCTGCTGTAATACGAAGACCAGTGACTTGCTTTGCAATCCCTGTTAGTCAGCAGTGGTATTGTGCCCTGGTACATGTCCAGAGCAGAGATTTAATCCTTGAGGAAAAGACAGCGTGGCCAAGGGAACAGCAGAGCACTGGCCCAGCACTCTGGAGTCCATGGGGTTCATTTTGGTTGTATCATTATCTTGCTGGGTGATGCCAGGCAAGTCGCTTCAACCTCTCGGTGCCTCAGTTGCCCCATTCTATGCTAATACAGAGAAGAAGGTAGCGATCTCCTCTGAAAAGAGCCTTTCCAACCACGTACAGAAAAGGCTATACAGGGGGATGGAATTACGTGTGATGCCCACTGAGGACTTAGGCAGGCTGTCCTCCTGCTCTAGCACAGCCTGCATTGCCTACCCTGATCCTTAACCCTTGTAATGCTGGCTGGGGAGAGAAAGAGCATGTCCTAAAACTCCGTGTGAGAAAGCATCCAGGTTGTAGCTGGTATCTGTCAGGGAGGATGGTTGTTTGCTTTCCATGTCCCGTAAGTGTTGTATAATGGCCCTGGTTCATTAAATTGAACCTTTTTTCAAATGAACAGCTGTTTCTTTTTGTCACAGGACTCTCACAGGTGCCCGAGGGGGTGCCTTAAGTGTACAAGACCACCTGAGGAGTGAAAGCTTCATGGGGCTTTGCTGGGGCGCTCCCCCACAGGCAGAGCCAAGGTCCTGCCCTGGGGGATGGCAGCCCCGTGGCTGCTCTGGCACAGCCCCCAACCTGGGCACCCTGGCCCCTTCCTCCTCTTTCAGTCCAAGATGCTGCTGCCTTTCCTCTGAGATATTCGCTGCCCACCCTTGTGCTGCCTTAGACCACTGTGTTTACTAACTATGCTGGGAAATACAGCCTTTCTGCACACCTTTGTGTTTTTCTGTTTGTTTCCTGTTTAGCCTGTGTTGGGGTTTCCCAGGCTGTGACAGACGATGCTGTATTATCATTCCTGTCTCATTTTTCACCTGTATCAAATAGTATACCTTACACAAAGGAGATGTAGTTTGAGTTACTCAAAATAAGCAGTGTGCACTGAAATGATGATTCTGATTTACATGTAGGGAGGAAGCGTAGGTTCCCCTCACATCAGTGACATTTGTCTCCAATTACCAAATGCCTGGAATTAATCTGGTGTAGCTGCAGCTTTTATGTTATCTTCATCAGAGCAAGGGCTGACAGGAAAGCCGTCTTCGTAACCCAAAATAGGGTTCTGGCTTTTAATGTGGAGAGATCCAGGGAAGTTGTCCATGGTAGGTCCAAAGCAAGGTCTCAACTCCCATCCAAACCATGCTTCAGCCACCATAAGCCACTGATGTAGCGAACATGCTTCTGCACAGCGTAGGGCTGATAAAATAAGGAGCTGCGTTCTCTGGTCGCTCTCCCTACTTTGGCATTAGCTAGGAACACAGAGAAAATATTATCCTCAGATATTACATGCTCTGAAAACCTTGCATACCTCTTGCTTTAAATATTCTGCCTTTTTGAGGTTTTGCTAAATACCCACCCAGCCTTTTTGCAAAGGCCTGAGGTAAAACTTCGTGCTTGCTTCAGGAAAGCGACAACTTTCTGCGTGAAAGCTGGGACTGTTCCTTTAAATGCAACCCCAATATGTCTGGGTATTTCAGCACATATGGGCCACGATGGTTAAACCTTACCCAGCTGGTCTGGCCGTTCTGCTGCGAAGCCTCCCGTCTTTGTTCGTGGCTAAAAGGGAGGGTGGTGAGAGACAGAGCAAGCTGTGAGTGCTGCGGGTTGCAATCCTGCAAAGGCAGGCTGCAGGCAGAGCGGGAGGAGGTGATGCATGCGGAGCCGGCAGCCCGGCTTGCCGCACCGGAGGGGACGAGGTCTTTGCGAGACATTTTCCGTGGGGGAGATGATGTCCTTGGAAGTATGAACTCGAAGGAGCCTTTGACCCACCCGTGGGTGCACTGTTCTCTATTTTCTGCCCTTCTCTCCCTTCCCCCTGCTGCCTTTTGTCATTTCTCAGGGTGGCTCTCACACGAGTCCCCTCTTCCCCAAGGGGACAGCCCCTTTCAGAGGCTTTGCTCCTGCAAAGGCAGCGATGTGGAATGGAAAGGCTGTCGGGCAGGATTTTCCCTGCCGAGGGAAGATGAGAGGTTTCCTTCCCTTTGAAGGCCCGGGAACTACCCTGCCGTGGCAGTTTTGTAGGGAAATGGTGGCAATGCTGTCGATT